CCATCGCACACACCCCCAGGCTCACATTGGGCTTGTCCATGTGTACAAGTATATACATAAACCCATGTGTGCGCATGTGCACACTCATGCCCAGATGAACACAAATGCCACATGTCACCATCACAAGTCTTTATTCAGTGTATTCCTGTGTATACACCCCACAACAATGCTTACTCGGTTCTGCTTTCACAAATATGACTTACCTGTGTGGTCATCTGTACCCACACACACGCCCTGTTCACATGCACACAGGGCCACCATAGTGATCACTAGATTTATGTCTAGTGTAAGCCTGCCTATACACCCATACTCGCACATCACACACACACACACACACACGCACACACGCTCACTCCCAGCTGTTTAGCTGCACCACACAGCTGTCCACGGAGTGTTTCTCTACCTCCTCTAGCCCCTCCACCCCCACCCCACTGGCTATTCATCTGTCCCTCAGAGCTTGGGCAGTGTGTGCGGGGGTGGGGTGGGGGGTGGTGGTGTCTGTTTTAGCCACTTCTCCTCCCCCATGTTCCACTCTGGGGGTGTGGTGACCCCTAGTGGAGCTGTTGTGAAATGCTTCATCTCAGAGCTTGCTCCCCTGGCCTCTGGCTGAGGCCAGGAGGTGTGAATCTAACAGTCCTGTCCTCATTCCTTCCCCATTGTTCCACAACAGTCAGCATGGCCATCCTGAGCCTATCCATGCCACCATCTTTTTCTGGCAGCTCAGAGTTCTGGCTGCCTGGTGCCCCCGCAAGCTGAGCCCTGGACAGTGTCAAAATGAAGGGCTTGGCTTCTGCTCAGTTTGCCCACCCCCGAGAGGTGATTTGTTTCCAAATCTAGGTGTGAGTGTTGGTGTCCACTGTACACGATTCTTTATCCTGCCTTGCTCACTGACCTCTCTGAGGAGCAGTTCTCACTTGTTTTTTGTTTTTTGAGACAGAGTCTCACTGTGTAGTTCAGGCTGGCCTTGAACTCACTATGTAGCTTAGGCTGGCCTCAAACTCACTGTGATCCTCCTGCCTCAGTCTCCCATGTGGAGGGATTATAGGTGTGCCCCACTACACCTGACTCTCACTTGGTTTTATTGCTAATGGAATCCAGGTCTTATCCACCAGGCCTCTTCTATGCAAGGGTCCGTTTTTTCTAGCATTCAGAGGAAACGTACATTTCTTCTCATATCCCTCCCAAGCTGCCTCCTAGAAGCTGGTCCTAGGGCCGGGTCCCTTTCATCACTCCCAGCCCTGCTGTGACATCAGTTCACTTTGCTGCTGGTTACTGTCTGCAACCCCCCACGGGACACTGCTCTCTGTCTGTGGCACTGGAAGTGAGGTGGTGGGAACCAGCTGTCGTTTTCACTTGTAGCTCTGCCCCTTTGGTCTCTGCCTTGGCACCTTAGTCACCTTCTAAAATCTCTAAGGGGAAAATATTCTTCAGTGAGGGATTAGAGTAATCAGAAGGAACTTCCTCATTACAGGAGGCAGAGCTGCCACATTCAGTTTCTGGGTTGTGTACTGCACAATCCTGGGCACCAATCGCGTTTGAAGTCACTATAGATTGATATATTTAACATAATTTTCTGGCAACAGTAGCAAAATGTCTAGGGGAAGGGGCTAATTTTTCTAATTTGTACAAAGTGTCATCTGGATTAGGGACGGGCTGACTGGAAAACAAGAGCTGTGTGTTAAATATGACTTTGTTCCATAGCCTGAGGTGAATGTGTTCCTCCTTCTCTTGAAAACAGTGTTCTTCTTCCTTCTAGGGAACTCCCCTACTCCAAGTGTATGATTCTGCGGGCCTGCTGATTTCATGATGGCCACCCCACCCCTGCCACAGGGATGGTGATGTCACCCAAGTCTGATCAGTCCTCTTGGCCACAGGGCTTGGTCCAAAAGCTGGGTCAATCATAGTCCTTGCCTGGGATTTGATAGGCACCCAGATATAAAGAAAGATTCTTTCTCAGAAGTCTCTAAATCTGTCAGAAGTAACTGAAATAAACCTGAAGGTACCCGAAGTAGGGAAGTTCATCTGTAGGTGGAAGGAGAACACCAAACAGAGAAGGAGGCATGCAGGAGACTGAAGAAGGAAGGAGGCAGAGAGGGACCTGAAGACACATTTTAGAGTCCCTGAGCCAGTTAAGACTACAGACCAGCTCTATTACTGTCCTATCATAAGCCCAAATCCCACACTTTTTCCTTAAACTAGTTCAGTTTAGTTGAGTTACAGTCACCGATAAATAACATAATTCTACATCCACCTCCCAGAAAATCCCACCCTGACCCACAGGAACAGCCTCTCCACAGCCACCACCCGAAATCATTTGATTTTGTGGGGGCTTCAGCAGGATGCCCCCTCATGGTGTCCCCCAATTCCAGGAGTCCTGGGAGGGAAAGGCTCTGGAACTCCATTCCATAGTGCAATTCCAATGGGATGGGGCCTTGAAACCAGGTCCCTATTCCAGGAAATCCCACAATCTATTTATAAATCCTCAAAGTACCACCAGGTGCTGCTGAACAAAGCCACACACAAATCTCTCACAAGGACAATCATAATTTGCAGAAATAGTGTACTCAGAGCTATTAAGCAGAAAAACGAAATTCTTCCACTGTTGTACTTCTGAGGCTCCTTCTTTCTCACATACCATTTGTTAGTCACATAGTTATGTGTCACTGACAGAATTCTGCAGCCATATTTAATCCCTTTCTTTCAACCCCCATATTTTAGTTCCTTTGGAACTGGGGTCAAGGAAAGGACCCCTTACTTGGTTGCTGCTGTCTCATCAATGCCTTCTCATCTGCACCAGGAATAAGCATTGAAATCTCTACTAGAATTCAGGGAAATGGCCTTTTCTCTCCATTTCCATCTAAAGAGAAGAGATAGCTCATTTTTTAGGTCCATGGCTTTTAATGACCACACTATACTCCTCTGGGTGAGTTGTCTACATTTACTCAACTACTCCTGTATTATTGGGCATTAAGTACTGTTAAATTCTGAAATCTTAAAAATAACACTGTGATGAACATGTTTTAGTATAAATCTTTGTCCATGTTTAGTTTATTCCTAGAAATAGATTTACCAAGGCAACGGGCAGGACAAAGAGTCTCGGGACACTAAATTTTGGTACAAATTGTCTTAGGTCACACACAAACACACACCCCCAAAACAAAAAAAAATCCAAAGATGCAAACAAGAGTTCTCATTAAGGAAAAAAAAATGAAAGGAAATAGGCGGTGTGTCTAGTGCTTGAAAGAAAATAATAGTAATCAGGAAAGTTGCAGGCAGGTAACCTCCTCCACTCTTCCAGACTGATATAAGCTCTCCTAACTGAATGAGCAGATACACACCTTCTTGCGCCCTCCAAACAGCAAATGTTTTGGTTTCCTGTGACAAAGAACTCAAATTGAATACCACAAGGCAGAGAGTTTTTACCTCAGCCTTATTTTCCAAAACCACAAGTTTTGCCCAAGGTTAACATGCAGTTTCATGTCTGAGGACCTGGGACCTCTCCTCATTTGTTTTCCATAGCCACCTCCAGCCTGCACCTGGCTCCCTTCAGAGGGACAAAAGTGGTGGCCTCCTGGCCACCCTCCCTGTCTCCAGCTTGGCCTCAGTTGAACCCTTTGGCAATTTTATACTGAGCAGACTTCTCTTCGATGTCTATTTTGGTATTTAATGTCTCTGAACTGAATGTACTGTAGAGAAAGTACAGGGGCTTTTCCCAGAAGTTTTCAGTAGCTGGGGTGGGGTAGACAGGGAAATGTGGTGTCTTAGGTATGATTCCCTCAAAGCAAAGTCAAGGCAAGTATTTTGGGAGCAAGTGGCTTATTTGGAAGAAGACATCAGGAAGCAGTGTGGTGGAGTAGAGAATGGACAGGAAAAGGAGAAAAGTCAGTAAGGCGTTTGTTTAGGAGCAGGATACCCTGGGGGAAACTAGAGTGCAAGCCCATCTCTCGCCATACACACATTGCAGGTGGGGGTGTTGGGGATGGAACTCAGGACCTTTCACTTGCTAAGCACATGCTTTTTCACTAAGCTGCACCCCAGCTCTAGACATATGATTTATAAAACAAAAATAAGACCTTACTATGCCTGCTGGCTTTTTCATTCAACTGTCTTGGACATCTTTCCACATCAATAAAGATATACGACACCAAGACTGTCAACAGCTGAAGAGCATTCCATTGGGAGGCTACACACCCGTAAGACATCTGTTATTTTGAACTTTGGCTGAAATAAAACAAAGATGTGAGGAACATGATGAATCTTCTTAAAACATGGCTGTGCATATCACCTCTTCTTTCTCTCTTGCTCAAACCCCATCCACAGCTCCATTATCCATGTGCTGATGCCTGCATTCTGTAACTTGGCATTCGAGTCTGACCCATGAATAACCTGTGTCTGCTCCTCTGCCACCCAGACAGTTGGACCTATTGGGTCATTTCAGGCCCTGTCCATTGCTGCACCTGTGCCTGGATGGCCTCTTCTCTCCTGTGCTGCTTGGCCCTGTCCAAATGCTGCCTTCCTCAGAACTCCATCCTCCAGTGGCCCAGGCCTCCCTTTCTCATTATCTTTTCTGTGTGTCTCCTGCACTGGGGATTCTTTTTTTTAATTTTTTTTTATTTTTTATGTGATCTTGTGTTTCTGCTCTTTTTTGATAGGTCTGTTTTCCACTTCCCTACAATGCTGGATCAGTGTTCAGATGGGCAGCTTCATGCACAGCCACAATCGTGTTCGGTGTTTGTTGATGGTGACCACAGTGACTGATTTTGTTCTGGAATGAGGGTGGAGGAGAGTGTTCCGCTCACTGGGGTTCTGTGACAACTGGATCTCGGCTTGTTGAAGTCTGTTGAAGTGACAAGACCAACAGAGACAGCCAATGCACTGCCCATGGGCCCCCTCTCTGGGCGACAGTACATAGGAGCAAAGGCAGTGGCGGGGGGTGGGAGTGGAGGTGGGGGTGTCTTTCTGGTTCCAGACTCCAGAACTGCCAGGAAAAGGAGCTAAACCAAAGTGGAAGGTGGGGGAAGGGCAACTCCGAGGGTGCTAATCCCAGCTTCCTGTCCGGATTTTCCTTGACTGCTGCTCAGGGCCTATCTTAGGATGGTCACAGCTGCCGAAATAGATCTCCCCCCTCACCTGTTGTTAAGCAATGGAGACCTTGCTGACTTCCTGTCAGAAGAATGCATGCTTTTGTAACTTTTCCAATATAGGGGACAGGATTGACTGCCACCTTTCTCCATTTCTGAGGGACCAAGGCTCACCTTAACCAGGAATCAGGGAGCAAAGAGCCAAAATAAGGAACTGGAGATGGATTTTTGGCCAGAGTTCCATCCTCTTCTGTGAATTCGGCCAGTGTTTCCTTTCTGGTCTTCTTCAGAAACTACGCTCTGTCCACAGAATGTCCCTCTCCTGACTGACAAAGTGGCAGGGAGCAGATCTGAGGCCTCTCTCACTCACCTGTCCCTAACACCCAAGGCGGCCCCTACAAATGTCTATACCTGCTGAACCCATCAAGTGAGCTAGGGATCTGGGACCTGGAAACCAAGCCTACCTAGCAACTCACTCATTTATTCAACAAACATGGCCTCCCTGGCCCAATACTGTGGGTGAGTAACGGTGACAGGTAAGAGGAGGAGTAACACACAATACTCCGGAGGCCTAGCACAGGGGAGGAGGATGTAAATTCCAGAGGAAATAGGGGAGTTGAGAGCAGAAACTTAAACTATGCCCCCCCCCCCACGCCAGAGTCCGGGGCAGGCCTGCGCATGCGTGGGAGGAGCTGTGAATTGGCGTCGGCGTTGCTGAGGGAACCCAGACCTGCGAATGCTGGCCATGGCCTCCGGGGCTAGCGGGAGCTGGGATCGCGTTCCACCACAGAGTGCAGCCCCGACGGTGAGAACTGAACCAGAGAGCAGAGCCTGCCTTTCACTGGGTGGCTGGATTCGGGAGATGGGGATGAAACACCAGATCCCAAACCGAGGGAAAGATACTGGACAGGGAAAGGGGAGGCCATGGGGGCGGAGAGGCGAGAACTCGGCGCCTGCGCAGTTAGAGAGGCAACTCTTCGGGACAGGGGAGGGGGTGTTGGGAATCGCGACGTGCCACTTCCCTTCCGCACCTGGCCTGGCTGAGTGTCCTCTCCTACGTCTCCAGCCCTCGGTGACGATTCTGCAGCCCCTCCCATGGGCCGTCTCTGCCTCGCCCCCCCAGCCGGGCCGCGTGAAGGAAGGTGAGACTCGGCCGGCGTCGCCCTCCCATGCCCCATCTGCCCCTACTCTCTCTGTGTGTATCTAGCTTCCGCGCCCCTAGACTAATTCTGGATGATGGCCCTGAAGTTGGGCAGGGGTGACAGGGCACCGGGCGGGGATTGCGCGATGGCAGGGTGGGCCTGCTTAACCCCTGCTGAACCTCCAGATCTGCTGGAGTTGATGTCGCTACAGAATGCGCAGATGCACCAATTACTGCTGAGCCGCCTGGTGGCAAGGGCCCTGAACCCTGAGACCGACTCTCCAGGTGTGCAGGTGCGTGGGGGTGGGGCCCCGGCGTCACCCGCCTGTATTCTGGGGTGGATGTTAGGGGATTGGACCCAGAGAAGCAGGAAGGCAGCCCATACCTCTCCAGCTGGGTCCCTTTGGCATCTGTCATGCACCAGGGCTGGTGTGTGTCAGACTTCATGAAGGGAGGGGGGTCCCCAAACCTAGGCCTCCCGGTCTTGTTCAAGGACATCCTCTTGGACATCAGGCCCCAGGAAGGCTGGTGACATCGGACCCTGGTGTGTCCTCCCTCCCAGCCAGCGGGGTGGAGGCAGGAGGCAGGATGGAGGAAGGCATGTGAGGGGGCACGGGGGTGACAGGCTAAAGCTGAGCCTATTTTGCCAGCATTGGGAGGGAGACAGAAGAGGCCTGAGGGCAGGCGGCCTGGGGTACAGAGGGTCTGGGAAGCCAAGAGGCACTCAAGGAGAGGGTCAGTGGAATCCAGGCAGAGGGAGCATAATGAGTTGCTGTGTCTCTTACCCCCTCAAGGACCCTGGGGATGAGCACCCCACCTCAGTGAGTGACACAGGTGGGCCAGGAGCTGGGGACAAGGCCAGGAGTAGCTTGGTGCACTCTGATCCCCAGGTCTGGAGTCACACCTAGATTCTTCCATCCCCACTCTGCCTCTTATTAGTTGGGACACTTAGACAAGTTGTTCAACCTCTTGGAGCCTCAGTTCTCCCATCTGCAAATAAGGAATAAATGTCTGCACAGTGCCTGGCTTTTATATAGTAAATGCTTACTAAATGGTAGCCATTAGGATGATGGCTATCTAGAGAAAATAATATAGGGAAAGAGAGGAGTGGGAGCAGGACCCTGAGTTATCATCTCCCTATCCCCTTTGCACAATCTCCAGGTCTACCTGGAGGGGCAACAGGAAGAACCAGAGGAGGAGGTGCATATCCAGGAGGAAGTGCCTTTGGTGTTCCACCACCACTACCTGCCTTACCTGATCCCCACCCTGGGCCCCTGGCCCCTCTGGCCAGCCCCTTTCTTTCCTTCTCCCTCGAGCCAACCCTACTCACAGGGCACGCCCAGTGTCTGTCACCAGCCTCCTGCCTCTGGGACAAGGGAGATGTAAGTAAGCTGGGTGTCTGGGCGCTGCCAAGCTTCTGCTTGAAGGCTGGGCTAGAAGAGCCAGCCAGGGGCCTGTGGGCTTCTGAAGGGGCCTTTCTTCTCTGTGCCCCACCTCAGGAGAGCTGTACCCCCGCCCCCACCCCCCAGTGCTACAGAGACTGTGGGTGCAGATGTACCTCCAGCTTCAGGTAGGGGGCCGAATGGGTGAGCAGTGGGGCCTAGGCCCATCAGGACAGGAGGGTTATGTGCCGGGGCGGGGCATGGGGACCTCCTACCATCACTGCTGTGGGCACTGGTCTGTCTCCTTCTCTGTTCCTTCTGGAATCCCCTGGGGCGGGAGGGATGCAAGAAGGAGGTGCTCTTTCCCCAGACTACTATGATGTTGAGAGCCTGCTCTGAGGATGGAAGCTCACAGGAGTCCTCACCAGCTTCAGTGCGGGGCTGAGAACGGCCCTGTAGTCTCCACTTGCTCACTACTGTCTGCTGATTGCACCCATGCTGTCAGCCCTCCCCTCTGGGGGTGGGGGATCCACCCCTCTCCACCCCATTGCCATCCTGAACAGGCCTAGAAGACACCCTCCAAGCCCAGCCAGGGGCCCAGAAGCCACATGAGCCCGACTCTGGGCCACGGTTTTCTGCCTGGACCAGGGCAATGCCTCTACACTACAAGTCCCAGCCCACCTCTGTCCCTCTCTCCTCTGGGATGACAAAGGCTGTAGGGTCACCAGCTGGGTTAAGAATGGGGCAGGAGGTGAGAGGAAAGGACTGCTCCTGTTTCCCAAGCACCTTGAAGCTCCCCGAAGCTCCCCCTACCTGGGGTAGGGCTTGGAGCTGAGTCAGTGCCCTTATGATCCACCATCAGCCCAAGAAGTTAACCTTGGCAGCCAGTAGAGTACTGGATATGTCCTTCTCCTGCCCCCAGGAATACCCTAAGGTCCCATGAGGACAGGTGGGAACTGAGTGTTCTTTGTCCCTCCAGGACAGGGTGGTTCCTCGCACTCCATCCATAGGAGTGAGTCACCCAGGCCAGTTGAGAGAGGTGCCTGGGCTGATCAGTGACGGGCTTTTGGGGTCTGGGGTGGTTGTGGCCCTGGAAGGCCCCTGAGAAGGAGAGGGCAGGAAGGAGGACACATCTGGAGAGAGAAGGCCTGTTCTCCCCCTTTCCCAACTGCTGACTGTTACCCCAGGAGCAGACATGGAGGACACCAGGTTAAGTCCAGGTGTTTGTATTCAGGCTAGAAAAGGAAATGTCCCCAGAGTCCCATGCTGCTCTTAGGCCCTCTGCCGGGCTGGATCACAATCCGAGGAGCTATGCTAGGTTCCAGCAGTCACCATGGTGGTGGCCATGCAGCTCATGCAGGCTGCACCCGGAAGGTGCGGGGCAGCCTTCGCCAGGCAGCCAGTACCCCGTAGGTGCCTGTCCGCCTCTGGCGCTGATGCTGGCTGATGATAAAGCAGAGCAGGATGGATGTCACAAATAAAAACAGCAGAACTGACACGACTGTGACGATGATGACCATCTGGCTGTCTTGCACGGGCTCTGGGGAGGGAACAGATGTCTGAGAAGACTCAAGTGCCAGGGTGTGGCAGGGATCAGATGTCTGCCCATCACCCTGCACCCACTCATTGATCCTCCAATCACCCTGCTTGCCAAGAGGAGTGAAGTGTGGTGTCTGCCTTCAGAGTGGCATCTAGAAGAAAAGTGGCCCAGGCTCCAGTCACTAGCCAGACCTCTGTGAGATGGTTAGGGCAGATGCCCCCGGCCAGCAGTCCCGGGACCAGCTCATGGCCCTCCTCAGGCAGAGCCAAGTGAGCTTCAGGCAAGCTCCCCAAAGACAGCAGACACTGGCCACTCAGTCATGGAACAGCAGGACTTGGAGACCCCAGGGAAAGGCAGGCCAAACCTCTCGATATGGAGAGGAGTCAAGGACAGAGAGAGCAGGTTGCCTTGGTCAAGGCCACGAAGCTTGATAATGGCCAAGCAACTAGTTGAGCTCTCCTGACTTCTAGAAGAGTCAGGATCCAGGCTGGGACCTTAGAAAAAGAACCAGGGAAGATGGGAAACTTCAGGATTAAGTGTGAACCCCAATCAGTCTGGGAGTAGTGGTCAGTTTTTTCTCCACACAAGAGTCCAGAAGGCCAAAGGGCCCCACCCTCCTTGGGGGGTCCCATTACCATAGACTTGGAGGACCTGGGGCTCCGAGACACTGCGAATGATGTCCCCGCCTCTAGACCGCAGGTCCAGCTCGGCCTGGCAGGAAAAGTTGAGGGGACCACCTTCTCTCTGAGCCATGCTGATGAATGTGGTGGCGGCTTCCTGGGGGGCAGGTGCTGCCCCCACGAAGGTCTGGTTGTGCAGAGTCTCCTGGCCACGGAGCAAGGTGAGGGTGAGGCTCTCAAGGGGCTCTACAGCAGCCACCCTGCACTCAATGGTGAAGGATGTGCCCAAGGCCACCCTTGTGGGCTGCAGCTTCAGTGTGACCTGCTTTGGGGGCTCTGCAGGGGATGAAGGCAAGAGGTCTGGTTAGCATGGGGGTGAGTCCCAACGGGGCCATCTCCCGACACCATGGCATTCCAGCTCCCTCAAGGGACTTGTGAGGGAGAGAATGAACTGGGGCCCGGCCTGCTCTAGTGCAGAGAGGAAAAAGGAAGCAGTTCAGTGTGAAGACATACTTGGCAGTAGTTTTATGGACATGATTTAGAGAACAGACAAGGTGGAGGTAAAGAAAAGGCTCAGAACTTGTACACTCAACTTTGAAGATATAAAAGTTCGGGTCTGTGTCTCTCCCTCCTCTACAGATATATTAAATACAAATTTCAAAGATTAAACAATTGAATAATTACGTCAACAGCACTCAACCCCCCACACCCAGGAAATATGGATGGAATACAAATTTAGGGTATCTTTCTTTTCATTTGATCCACTGATATTGGTCATAGGAGGCCCCAGTGATACCTATGTGGCCAAGATAACAAGATAATCCCAGCCTATCTGGAAGGTTTCTATGGGTCCAGGCAGGTGCATGTGTATAGTGGTCGCACCTTCGCCATGAGTCCTCAGGAGAAGAAAAGAACACCAAGCGATAGCTCCTCATGAAGTGCAGGGGCTATAGGAGAGCATGCCCAGCTCTCCTGATGTCCACCACTACTTGTCACACGGGTGCTCTGGCATCTGAGCTGGGGGGAGACTTAAGAATATTGTGTGGCTAAATGACTTTTGGGTCTGGGTGAACCTTAGTTAGACTGTTCTCCTTGAAGTAAGATTCAGAACCAGGTTGGCTTGCTCAGGGACCAGCAAGGGTATGAGCAAATTCTGGGTCCACTGGCCCGCCCTGCTCCTTGTCTGTGATGAGAAGGCTCTGCACAAGGATAGGGCAGATTCTAGCACATTCAGTAGACACAGGCTCTGCCCAGGACAGATGCCCCCAAAACACACACACATAGCCACTCACGGTACACGCTGATGTTGAGACTCTTTGTCAGTGTCTTCCCGGCACAGGAAAAGTAGCAAATGAGTTCCGCATCCTGAGAAATGTTTGAGATCAAGTACTGCTGCCACTGAGGCTGTTGGTCCACCAAATGCTTAGACAGGAAGGTCTCCAGGCCACCTGATTCAGGCTTGACACAGCTGGTGCTGCAGTTGACTTTCCTGGACCCTATGGCCTCAACCGCCAACCTCTCAGGCCATACGTAAACCTCGAATGTTACCTCAGAAGATCCTAGAAGACCAGAAGCACTGGGCAGTAGATGTCCCCACTGCCCTGCAGTGGAGCTGTCTGCCAACTGGCATTGAGGATCAAGCCCATGGATGATCTCTCGGTTCTATTCCTGGCTCAACCCAGGAGACAGCCTTCCAGCCTCTCCCTGCCTCTGGGCTTTCTGTCCTTCAGCACCTCTGCCGGTCAGCTCCAGTTAGTCTTCTTCAAGTTCACAGTCCAACTCTGTCAAGGTCCAGCCCATGTCCTCTCCTCCATGAAGGCTTCTCTGAGAATGGAGGTGGGCTCTGAGCTGTGTCCCCTGAACTGTGGCCCTGGGTTTAACCTCCCTTTCCTTATCTTTCTTCCATAAATGCTTTTGAACACCTATTATGTGCTAAGCACTGTGCTAGGCTCTGGGGATACAGCAGTGGCCAAAGCTGACCAGTGGCAGAGCACATGCTATAATAAGGGAGCCAGACAATAACAAAGAACAAGCAAGACCCCATGCCTGTGAGCCAGTGGCAAGTGCTGGGGAAAGGGAGTATGCAGTGTGGTCAGCAAAGGCCTCACAAGGACAGTGACATAAAGGAGGTGGTGAGCCGTGCAGATGTTAGTGGGTATTCCAGGAGTGTTCTAGCCAAAGGGAATCACTGGAGCAAAGACTCATTTGGGAGTGTGCTTAGTATTTTGGGGGCAACAGAGAGATCATGGTGGTCAGAGATCAGTAAAGAAGAGGAAGGCAGGGGGCCTGAGGACAGGAAGGTAACGGGTCACCTCAAAGCACTGTCTCACTAAATGCTCACAACCACCCTATGGGAAAGGGATACTAGCTTATTTGACAAATGAGAAAAGCTTCACTTTTGCTTTGACCACAGCCAGAGAGTGATGCCCCTGTCTCTCCAAGCTGACCCCTAGGCTATTTTAGAAGACAGGCTGGGTGTACACCCTCATCTTCTTTAGGACCCCAGCACCCCTTCACCTCCTGAGTAATCCCCCTGCACAGCCTGCCACACTACCATGCCCTGAAGCTGTGGGGCCTGTTCCGCCTGGTGGAACAGGAAAAGGCCAAGACCCCACCCCATTCCCAGAACCAAGGTGACTCAAAACCAAGCTACCGCAGCATCCTGACCCCATTTCGGAGCACACCCTGTGTTCAAAGGGTCAGCAAGTTCCTTCTTTGCTTGAAGCCCAGGGCACAAGGCCAACCCACCCTTAGCTGCCCCATGCCAGGAGCCTGGGTACCAGCTCACCTGAACAGCACAGCAGGGTGAGAAGGGCTGTGGGGAGGCCCCAGCAGCCAAAAGAAGACATCTCTGGCAGGGTCCGCGGGGTGCCTGGGGCCAGAGGGCTGCCTAGACGGAGACAGATAGGTAGCACTGCTCAGGGAGTGGTGGCTGTGGCTGCAGCCTGAAATCCCCCGATTTCTGTGTGCTGATGACGGAATTTCCTTTCATTAGCTGCAGTCAGGAAGCCATGTGCACATTGTCGGGTCCCAGGCTCCTGCCAGTCAGGCACAGGAAGCAAAGGAGCAGCTGATAAGCAGGAGCACAACTTAGTGCTCCCTCACCCTGGTGTGCGGGGCAGGGCAAGGAACATGTGCGGGAAGCATGTGTTTGTGTTTGTGTGTGTGCATCTGTGCACACAGGACTCCTGTGTGCTATTCGTGCACAGGGCACAGTGTGGACTACAGAGTGCAAATCTGGAGAATCCCAAATCCTGCAGGAATCCTTATTGAAGATGCCTCTGGGAAAGAGTATCTAAAGTCAGGATATGCAGTCACCATGGCAAAGGGGCAGAGAGCTGGACTTTCCTAAGGAAATCCAGGCAGGAATTTGAAGTTATTCTGCTAATGCACAGCATGTAGTCTGCACCAACTTTGATGTCCCAGTCAGTTTCCAAATGAAACCTGTCCCTGACTCAGCTGACCCAAGGCCCAAGTGAGGCCCAGAGCCTCAGCCAGTGCAGCCCACAGCAGCTCCCGGCGGCCAGGCCCAGGAAAGCAGGAGTCAGTCCGCAGCAGCTGACCCCAAGCCCCAGTCTCCATCTCAGGAGCCTGCCTGCTGGTGTCCTCTCTCCCTCCAGCCAGGGCCCTTGGCATGGGATCCCTGGGGGTAGCAACCTATTTCTAGGGAGACTTCCTTACCTGTTCAGGAATCCCAAGAAGCAGTATGCTATGCAGTAAGGGAAGGATCCTGATGGGCTCACCACAATCTTTTTTTTGGTTTTGTTTTGTTTTTTTGGTACCAGGGATCGAACTCAGGACCTTGTGCTTGGAAGGCAGGCAGGGTGCCACTGAGCTAAATCCCCCACCCAATATTTTACTCTTCAGGTTCGTCCCAAGATCCCTTGGGACCAGACAGTGGAAAAAGCAGGTCACCTTGCTTTCTGAGGGACACTCTAGGTGGGGCCTTTCCAAAGGGTGGCCCCAGAGTTTCGCGGGCTGGGGCCCAGCTCCATGAGGCCTTGAGAGAGCATGGGTAGGTCCTGCGCTCACTGCTGAGGCCAAAGGCAGTTACTACTAGGCACGGTCATCTAGCGCTGCCTTTGTCAGCCTAGGTCCAAGGAAGTCCCCAGACCAGGACATTGGACTTTGGAATGATGCTGATGCCAGGAGGAAGTGTCAGGGCCTGGGGTCAGTGGAGAAAAGTAGCAGAAGGAGGGGAACTGGGGACACTGGAGCCCCAGCCAGGAGGGATCTGATTCCATGAGGGCCTGGGAAAACTCTTGCAGCCCAAGTGGGAGTCTGACCAGGTGAGCCCAAGGGCTTGGACAGCCCGGGAGGGAGGGGAGGTGCAGCTGTAGGGAGTCCCCCCGACCCCGCTCAGAATAATAAGGCAGCAAGAATGCAACAGCGATGGATGCAGTCATGACTCGCTTACAAGGGGTAAGTGCCAGGAAATTCATCCTTAGGCAGTTCGTGGCTGGGTGAACGTCACAGTGTACCCACACAAACCTGGTGGAGGGAAACACCAGATGGCAGAAGGCCAGAGAAAGTTTCTAACCAAAAGGAAGACAAATAAATGTTACTAGGAATTAAAATGAGAACCTAAGTACAATGTTAAAAAGAAGACTGTACAAATTCATAGAAACAGGAAGTAGAATGGTGGTGGCCAAGGGCTAGAGAGGGAAATGCGAGTTGTTATCTAACGGATAGTTTCAGTTGAGCGAGATTGGCTCTGGAGATTGGTCGTAAAAAATGGGAACACACTTAACATTACTGAACTGTATATTTAAAACCAGATAAATGGTCCATGTCATGTTATGTCTTGTAGGAAAAAACACAAAAATAAAAATAAAGACTATGAATAAAGTATGACATGAAATGTGAAACAAAGTAGACCAAACCTCAGAAAAGCATGACTTACTAGACTTAATTTAATAAAAAATAAAATGGCTGAGTGGTTCTATAATATTAAAGAAGTTGAATCAGTAACTTTAAATTTTCCCATTCCCATTCCTGGGTATGGTGGCGGATGGCTGGAATCGTAGCACTGAGGAGGCTGAGGCAGGAGAATCACCGAGAGTTCAAGGACAGCCTGGGCTACGTAGTGAGCTAAGGCCAGTCAGAGTTACAGAGCAAGACCCTGTCTCAAAAAATTTTTTTTAAATTAGCATTTTCCCATAAAGAAAATGCCATGTCAGCACAGTTTTATAGATGTTCGAGGTAAGTCTAATTTTCTCTTTCTTTCTTTCTTTCTTTCTTTCTTTCTTTCTTTCTTTCTTTTTCTTTCTTTCTCTGTGGTACTGGAAATCAAACCCAGGGGCACTCCACCACCAAGCTACTACATCCCCAGACTTTTAAAATTTTTTTAAATTTTGAGACAGACTCTCACTAAATTGCCCAGGCTGGGATCAAACTTGTGATCCTCCTGCCTTAGCTTCCTGAGTAGCTGGGATTACTCCACCATGGCTAAGATAAATCTACTTTTATAAAAACTTTCTGAGAATGGTGGGTGTAGGAACACTCTTAACTCTTTCCATATGGCTACTTTTTCCAAACAAGACAAGCAAAGGACAAGAAAGGAAAATTAAAGGCCAATAGCACTTATAAATTCAACAATTATAAGAAAAAAATTAGTAAATCAAACCTGCAGCCTATAAAAAATATAAGACATTACATTCAAGTTGGGTTCATAACAATAGGAGAAAAGCCTACAAATGTCATTATGTCGGAAACACAGATGTGGTGGCTCGTGTCTCATCACTCCTGCCCTCCTCTCACTTCATCTTCACAGACAGTGGATTGCTTTGTGCAAGCGAAGACACCTTACAGCCACCTGGGTCCCCTCACCTTTGCTTTTGTCCTCGGAGACATCTTTAATGCTTTCAGAGCATTTATCTGCTCATATTCCCCAGATGTGAGGAAGAGTTAAGGTCCTTAATATGCACCCTTTTCCCTAAAAGGTGATGGGAGCCTGGGATGCGCTCCAGCCCCTCCTTCCTGGTGGTGTCCCCCATGCTCTGAGCATCTCAGCAGGACCGACTGCCTCCAGCTGCAGCATGGCCCAGCTCCTTGAAATGGGCTTCTCCCCGTTTCCACCTCCCTCTCCCTGACCCTGCATATTCCTGGAATCATCTCTCAGATAACTTGCCTGAACCAGACCTTGCTCTAGCTCTGCTTTTGAAGGAGTCCAAACTAAAAACTTACATTAATAGACTGAAGAAGAAAAAAAATCTCAACAGAGTCTAAAAACAAAAACAAAAACCAAACATACCCATCAACGGTGTTCAGCAAATTTTCTGATAAATATCTAGAAAATTAGAAGGAAATTCTTTAACATGATAAGAAAAACATTTATTTTTAATGAGTAAATTTTAGAATTTCCTTCAAAATCATGATCTCTGCCCTTTTTTGTTGTTGTTTGGGGGCTTTTTGTTTTCTTTTTGTTTTTGTTTTCTATTTTCTAGTACCAGGAATTGAATTCAGGACCTTGTACTTGCAGGCAGGCACGGTATCACTGAGGTAAAGCTCTGATTCCATTGTTTTGTTTCTGAGATGGGGTCTCTCTATGTAGTTCAGGGAGTCCTTGAACTCATTATGTAGTCCAACTGGCCTCCAACTCACAGCAATCCTCCTGCCTCAGCCTCCTGAATGCTGGGATTACAGATGTGTACCACCATGCCCGGCTTCTCTCTGCGTTTTTTTTTTTTTTTGGTATTGGGGATCGAACTCAGGACCTTGTGCTTGCAAGGCAGGCGCAGTACCACTGAGCTAAATCCCCAGCCCTCTCTGCTTCTTTTTAACATTGCACCAAAGGTCCTAAACAGTGCAGTAAGACTAAATTAATTCATTAACTAATTAATTAGTAAAAGCCTAAGAATTAGAAAACAACAAAACCATCAGTATTTGTATATGGCATGAATATCCAAAAAAAATCATTAGACAAATGATTCAAAATATAAAATTTTAGCAGGGTAGCTAGCTGTATGATTGATATCCAAATATAAGTTGCTTTTGTAGCCTATCAGTAGCATACAGAATGTGATTTAAAATATTGCATTTATAATAGCCAATAAAGGTAGGAATAAATCTAGCAAAACTTAAGCATATAAGACCTGTAATAAGAAAATTATAAAACTTTATTGAAAGACATTAAAAAGAATCTAAATAAATGAAAAGATAACCTTGTTTATGGATAGAAGATTCAATATTATGAAGATGTAAATGCTTCCCTAATTGGAGCCTGGTCATGCCACAGGATGGGAAGGGCAGCCATGCAATGCACTGTGGATTGCGCACCCTGCCCATGTCCACCTGCCAACTTCCAGCTGGCTCTGCATTTTGGTTTCCCACAGCACAGGGCTGCAGTGGTGCTGACTGACTAATCTGATCATGAATGAAGTCAGTGCTCCAGAAGAGACGGTAAGCACCAGAGAGTCTGCAGTTTCAGGGAGAAATAACAGATGAGCCAGGAGTCCTGGCCCTAAGAAAAGTCCACGGCTGTTGTGAACTGCAAAAGCAGCATGGAGTTTTACTCCAAGAGTGACTGATTCACTGTGGGGTACAGTTGGAGAAGAAACCCAGAGCAGCACCCACCATATTTCCAAAGTGAGGTTAACCAGGTGTCATTTCCAGGAGGGGTTGATTGTGTGGGACTGAGCCACAGAACACCCCAAGATTCCCGGTGTTACCATATCACTGTGCCTGGGTGAGAGCCACGGGAGACAGCGTGGAGAGGGCGAGGGCTAGGCACAGGTCCCCTGAGAATTCAAGCTTTGGCCAGGAAGAACACGGGCCCTGCACTCTGTGGTAGGAGTCCAGGCCCGGCAAGTGTGGCTTTCAGAGGTAGCTGGATCTGAAAGTGCTAGCACTGGGTCCAAGTGGTCTGCTTGAGCCCAAACCCCGCTGCCTACATCTAGCAGAGATCAGTGGTCTGACTGCTTTCCTGTTTACGTGTGAACAGGGATGCATCACAGCCTGGATGGTTGCCAAGGTCTGGAGTTTGTGGACAGAGGGGCTCCTGGAGTAGGAGTCAACTC